GATGGACATGTGAGTGCCACTTGGGTGGGGAAAACTTTCAGATTCAGGTTTTCCCAGATGTGCCAATATGACATCTCTAATAAAATGGAACTTTGAGGAAACTCAAGCCTCAGAGTCTTCTTTCTCTGAGAGTGTTACTTGGAACCCTGACAATCTGTATTATACATATTTATAATATTTATAGTCTTCCTATACTCGTGTTACACTTATTTTATTTTTTCCTGAAGTGTGATTTTTCCCTAGACTACTCAGCTATTTCATGGCTGAGTAGAAACGTATTTTCAGGTCCTTTACTCTAAATATATCATTTTGTGGGCAACACTGTTTCTATATTAGCAGCTTGAGAAATTTATGCTGTAACTGCTGTTTTTCACACGTAGTTCACAGTATGATCAATAATAACGTTGTGGGAATTTTTCCCCCCAGTGATGCAGGAAACCTCTTAGTATGTTGAACTTGTAGATAAATATTCTCTCTCATATGGGTTAAGTACGAATCTGGGTCACCAAAACTAAAATAATAGTTTCTACATAAGCAAGTATTTGATTTTCTAAATTAATAACAAAAGTGTAGGTTAAAACTGCTGAGAGAAATAGATAAAATTTACAGCTTCTAGCAATGGAAGATAAAGACTAGAACTAGATCTCAGGTAGTGTGGATGAATTATTCAGTAATCTTTTCCTAAGAATTGAGACATTTTTAACAGTCACATTTAAGCGTACAATATACAGCATTGTAGCTGAAAGAAATAATTGAGAACAATTGGAAGAAGGAAAATTGCTGTGTGTGTGTGTGTGTTTATGTGTATATTTTTTCTAGGCACTTTTGAAATACTGCTTTGTACATTCTGGTATTTGTGACTGAGCAGAGTTCATATAGTGCTTCTAGGAAACACTGAACAAAACAAAAACTTTCAGGTACATTTCTTTCCCTTCCACCCAGAATTCTGAACACTCTAGTAAGAGCCTTATTTTCCTCAGCTGTTATGACTAATTATGAGACATCAAGTCAGTGTCCACTCTTAGCAACCCACATGGATACATTTTCTCCAGACTGATCTGTCCCCAATCTGACTTTCAGGTCTTCCAATGATATAGCCATCAACACTGTAATTGAGCTGATCTGTGGGTGAGCCTTTTCTTTTCATTCCTTTTGTCTTGCTCAGCAGGGAGATAAGTCACCACAAAATATGACCATAGATTGATAATTTGAGTTTACTCATTTGTGCCTCAAGTGAGAATTCTGAGGTGTTTTATTTAATAATCATTTGTTTTTTTAGGCCGTCCATGGTATTCCTAGGAGTCCTCTCTAAGTTGATAAGTGTAATACTTTTTCTATCCTGCTCCTTCAAAGTCAAGCTTTCACTTCAATAGGTTGTCACAGGAAAAACCATTGGCTTCACATTTTGATTTTTGTAGGTACAGATAAATCAGGACATCTGAATAGCTTTTCAAAGGCCTTCATGGAAATTCTCTCTCAAGTATTTCTTAACAAGAGATACTTCTACTGTTGACAGTTGATCTTAAAAGGTAGAAGCACTTCAATATCTTCTCTGTCAATTTGAAGTCTGCTTTTTATATATGTTGTCAATAGTTGGTCTTCTTTATATTTAATCTTAGTCCCATTTTTCCCTATTCTTGCTCCTTCACCTCCGTTATTAGAGCCCATCGATCTTTTGCATTTTCAGCCACAAGCAGAGGATTCAGCTGGTTCACACCAGCCACTGCGGAATGTAATGATGAACCGGTGGCGGCCATTTTCCCGGGGTTGGAGAACTGTTAGTGATGGCTGGCTGGCCACACTCCCGAACCAGTCCAACTGTTGCCACTTACTCACCCCACCCACCCGCTGCTTGTCTCACCTGCCCACCCACTGCTCGCTCAGCCAGTCCAACGCTCTCACTTGCTTGACGCTCACCCCACCCATCCGAGCCTATATATGCCTTCACCACATGGCCGACCCCAGCTACACGCCTTGCCAGTTGCCTCCGTGCCTCACCCACTCTGCTCAGCTCACCAAAGGTAAGTATGTTGCCCGCTCACCCTGGGTTGNAATCCCAGCTTTATCTATCACTGCAGACAACAAATTGATTGCTCTCCATCTTCACTGAAGCAAATCCAACCGTTGCTTTTTCAAATACTTACCATTCTCACCTAGGAAGGGAATGGGAGAGGCTCAAAGTGAGATTTAATTAGCAGAGGAACATAATGTTCTTTTCACCCAGAGAGGAACACGATAACCCAGTCAGACACCTAAGTCCTACATTAAAAAAAAACTTTTTTTTGGTCAAGAGCCAACAAAGCCCGAAAACTATCTAGAAAAGCACGTGGAATAAACATACTCCATGTGCCATCTGTAGAAAGGAGAGGTTCAAAAATATGATTTGTTCCCTCTCATCATGCTTATTTACACTGTGATCTCATCTCAACCTACTGGATCCAAGGTTGAGAAGCCTAAATTTCACCCCTTCTGGATTCATCATTCAGGAACAGTAGATTAATCCCAGCTGGAACAAACTACGGATTGTGACTGTCCCAGAGAGAAGGTGTTACAGAAGTCGCGTTTCACATCTGTTGCTCTCATAGCTCCTGAAAAGAGATTGTAAATCTGCACATTTAGTAGGGTACACTTACATCTTATTCCTGAAGAAATGTACGGACGTTTCCCCCTCTAAAATGTTCCAAATCCCATTCTCCCCTTTCCTTCCCCCAATATTTCAAACCATCCAAGTGCTACAAACATAGTTTGTGACTAGCAATTCTGGTTACTTTTGCGAGCTTGCTTTTGGGGCAAAAGGACTAATGGAAGTAATTGTGGTGGCACAGTGGTTAGAACACAATCATCGTCGTCTTCATTTAACCCCATAATCCCTTGCGGGGCGGAGTCTGGGCAACTGAATGGAGCTAGCAGGGTGTTTCAATGGCCAGATGCCCTCCCCGTCGCCAATGAGGAGTTTTGTTCAGCAGATATATTCTCAGTGTGCCCAGAGAGAGAAACATCTGCCTCTACCTAGGATCGAACTGACAACCTCCTGATTGTGAGATGAGAGCTCTATCTCTAGGCCACCACACCACTCCAATGATTAGAATGCAGTATTGCAGGCTAACCCTTCCCACAGCCTGGAATTTAATCCTGATGGGACTCAAGGTTGACTCAACCTTCCATCTTTCTGGGGTCGGTAAAACAAGGACCCAGATTGTAGGGGGCAAGATGCTGATTCTCTAAATTGCTTAGAGAGGGCTGCAAAGCACTATGAAGAGGAATGTAAGTCTAAGTGTTATTGCTAATTAAAAAAATGTGCATGGGATAACCTGTTTCTCAACCTGAGCAACTTTTAAGACACAGGGACTTCAACTCCCAGAATTCATGGCTGGCTAGGGAATCCTGGGAATTGATATCCACACATCTCAAAATTTGCTGAGGTGGAGAAACACTGGTATATAAAAAAACGGAGCATATTATCCCATCTTGTTTCTCTCGGTATGAATCTTACCTGCCACCTTCCCAAACTGATCTGGAAGAAACGAAAAGTTTTCAAGGACCTTTGGAGGAATTTCCCAAGAAGGTGGTTAGTTTCAGGATCACGTTGCTTCACACACCAAGCCAGAGGAAATCCTTCCATCACTGCCTCACTTGAAGCCAAGAAAATCCCCACAAAAAAGCATTGTTTAAATACTTGTAGAAGGCGTGAAGGGGCTTTTCCTAATCTGGCATCCCTCCAGACTGACTAGAATTGCAACCCCAGAATTTGGAGCCAGTGTAGAATTGGATTACATTGTGGAAAAAATGGATTAAGGTCTTGGAAAAGTGCCAATATTTAGCCAATGTTCAGGAGGGGAGGGGAAAAAAAAGAGGCTACAGGTAGTCCTCAATTTACAACCACAGTTGAGCCCAAAATTTCTGTCGTTGAGCGAGACATATGTTAAGAATGTTTTGACCCACTTTACGAACTTTCTTGCCACAGTTGTTAAGCGAATCGCTTTGGGGTTTAAGTTAGCAACCCGGTTGTTAAGTGAATCACGCTCCCCACTGAATTTTGATCCTGGGGATGCTGCAAAGGTCGTAACTGTGAAAAACTGTCGCTTAAGTCACATTTTTCGATGCCATCATAGCTTTGGTCACTAAATGAACAGTTGTAAGTCAAAGGCTATCTGTATTTTATCCAGAAGCAGTTTTCTACATTCAGGGACGCAAAAGACATAGTGGATGCATTCAGAGAGCTCGACTACAACAGAGAAATGACTATGTGGTCTACAGCTGCACTAATTTTGCCTGTGATTCAAGAGGTGCCTTCAAAATATTAGGAAAAGCCACATTGGATAGAATCGATCTAGCGCAGTGATGGTGAACCTGTGGCTGCAGGGAGGCACGAATGCATGTGCGGGGGGGCACAGGGTGTGTGTGTCGCGCACACATTGCATTATAGGTGTGTGGCAGTGGTGGGTTGCAGGTGGTATGCCCCTGTAAGGGCATACCGGAGCCTGCCCGGAGCACCAGATACTGTTCCAGTACTCCCGAGGGCCCACCCGCCTACCTGAGCTCCTTACCGGTCTTTTAAGTTTTCGGGGCTTCTGTGCACGGTGCATATAGCACCTGTGCGACATTCCGCTGAGCAGCTGGAGCGTTGCGGAGGTGGTAAGACACATGTGGACGCTGCGCGCGTCCATGTGGACGCTGCTCAGCCCGTTCCAACCAGGATCCAGAACCCACCACTGGTGTGTGTGCACGCACTTGGCGCCAAAAAGATTAGCCATCAGTGATCTAGGGTTTAACTCATTCTAGCTTAGGAAAACTCCAAAATAAAATTGAAGCTTATACTTTACAATTTTAGGTATCTACAATTTTTCCCCCCTTTAACCCATCAAGCAGAAGAACAATCTTTATCTTTCCCATATAACCTGGAAAGTTACCTATCTTGTTTAGTATAAGGATTTCAGGTAAGTTTAAATACTCCAAAGAGAAAATGTTAAAAAAAAAAATTGATAATCTCCAAAACGATGAACACCCTGTAAGGGGAAGTGTAAAAAAAATGCAGATTAAAATTAAGCCATTTTAAAGTCTTTTTTAAAATAGATTATGTTAAAAATATTCTAGGTAATCAAAATGGATTTGCAGTATGAATAAAAACGGAAGCAACAGTATTTTGAGTTTCCACTTACTTTTCTGCAATATAAGTCCTTGCGATTTGAGGCTTCCAGATAATATTTGTTAAGTATTAAACAGTTTGTCAATATTTAGTAAACTTTCTTTGGAATACGCGCCATGCTAGGTTTTACGAAGGCAGTTGTGCAGGGCTAGGAAAAAGATTGTTAACAGCCTTCCTCGTAGATTTTTTTTTTCAAATTCCCAGCCAGGGAAGGTTGCAGGATCTTTCTCCTGCTTGATCTCCTGATCAAGTAACCTAACAATCACCAAAAGCTACAGACCCTCACCTCTCTCCAGGCCTTCCGAAAAGCCGTTAAAACCTGGCTGTGTCGGCAGGCCTGGGGTTGATGAGTTCCCTTCCCCTCTCGANGTTCCCATCCAGACCCTAACAGCCTCCAGGCCCTGGCACATCACTTCTACCGCTTCACTGAGTTGGCACAGGGCGGACAGATACAACTGTGTATCGTCCACATATTGGTGATATTTAATCTTGTGCCGGCGTATGATCTCACCATTTTTAGAAATAATCTTGAGGAAAGATTTCTTGAATTTAGATGGGACAATGCATCATTAAGAAACTAGATAGATATAGAACAGTAAACTGGTGGACCCGCAGACCAGATACGTCACACGCAGGCCATGCCCACCCCAGCTCCGTGAAGGCAAAATATGTCATGATATGTCATGTGACATTGATGTGGCGAGTTTGACACTGGTAATATACAAAGATATACAGTAGATATTGTCCTGAAAAAAATAGTCAGTTAACCAAAAATTAGCAAGATCTATACCAAATGTTATGACTAAATCATCTTTTTGTCAAATGACTTTTTGCCAATAAAGAGCATATTAAAAAAACAGCTCTAAAAGATTACTTCGTCTGTGATATGAGAACTCACTTTGTGTAAGTCTGAATGAAGGGCTTGAAAATCTATTTTTATAAAGATGCATCTTGTAATTAGTTGCAACGTAATGTGCTCTATTGTCATTTTGTATGAAAGACATTGAAGTGCTAATAGGAACTTTGAGGTATCCCTTATGTGCATGGAAGCAAAGAATTTTTACATAGTTGCTACAAGTGAACTCTGGATACTTGGGCAGCTGTGAAGATTAATTAAACATAAATTCACATTTTTATAAAAAAAATGTTGATAATCCTACTCATATTGGCACAATTTTCTTACTTGGTGACTAATAGGCTGAGAAAAAATTCAGAATAGCAATGATCTTTTCTCTGTAGAAAAAAAATATTCTTGAAGCTGTTCCAGTGTAAAAGCCAACACTTGTTGGAGAACAGGTAATTAGTGTAAGAGCACGTTTCATAAAACCTAATCAATTCTGGAACATAAACCCAATTAGTTTAATTTTCCAGATGTTACCATTGGATAAACCACTAGCTGCACTTCATAGCAATCCAGGATTGACCTGATCCCTTCTAGTCACCTCACAGAATTAATCTTTAAACTTCAGTACATCTCTGTTTTTCAAATATAGAAGTTTAAATATAAACAGTTTCCATATGTAACTCTTAAATGTTTATAAATGTTCCAGGTTTGATTAATTCAGAAGGAGCTTACTGTTCTGGTACAAGATGGGATGTTTAAAACATCGCTTAGAATTATTTCCTGACTGCCTTGTGACTGTTATCCTATTTAATGGTGTGAAAAATGCTGCTACTCTGCGGAGAAAAGCAATGGAAGGTGCTATCGATGGAGCATTAATTAATCCTTCAATGGTAAGCAACTTTTTTTTTAATCCATTTTTCGATAACCGATGCCCAACAAGCCGCCCTAAATCGGGATCAATGGCGTGCTGTAATCCGTGACGTCCTGCCCCTGGCCTTCACAATGNAAAGCCGTTAAAACCTGGCTGTGTTGGCAGGCCTGGGGTTGATGAGTTCCCTTCCCCTCTCGATTTGTGTGTCTGTTGGTTATTTTTAAATGCTTGTATTTAAAATGCTTGTATTTGTAGTTTTTGTGTTTCCCTTCCCCCCTTGGGTTTGTGAGCCACCCTGAGTCCCGCTAGGAATAGGGCGGTATATAAATAAAACTAAACCTAAACCTAAACCACTCCATCAGTTTGCCTTTCAGGGCAACTCTGAAGTGTAAAACTGCCTGTGGTATCTGGTCTCCAAGCATTGAGTAGATGACCCTCCCCCCCACTTCAAACCATTTTAAACAAACCAAAATAAATACTTTGTAGAATTCATGCTGTCTCTTGAGAAAGTCACCATTCTGTTATCTTTGCAGGTATATAAGCTCACTCCACAAGAAGAAAAAATAGGCACCCTGCTGGATGGCATCATTTGCAGAATGGCAACCAAAGAAATATGACTGCATTAGAATGACAGCTGTTCGTTACTGAAAGAAATTTTATTTTAATTTTCTTCCCCCTCTTGTTATGTTGGCATTAAATGTATTTTGGGATCTCTGATTTGATCTGAAGCACAATTTTATTCATGAAGCAGAACGATGCCGCTTTTTAAAGTGCTCTGCTGCCAGCAATTAATGATTGTCAAATATCTAAATATTAAAATTTAAAACTGCAGAATTCTGAGGCCATTTCCTTGCTTTGCATGTCATCATGATTCTTTGACTCGCCATCTCAGTTTTGTTTCTGGGAAACACAGAGCAATGAGTAAAATTGCAACAAATTTTCAATAGAATTCTTTAGCAATGAAAAAATGGGAACTTAAGGTAATTCTGTACTGATTCCCTGCTTTCATCTCATTTCAGTCTAATGAAAGTCTCATAGAACTTATACTCTGTTGCTCCAAAGAGAGACTGTTTGCATGTGAGTTTTTAATTTTTTTTTAAAAAAATTAATTAATTATTTAATTGGGAGTTTTCCTGCCCTTGGCCAAACTTTGTATCTTGAGGTTATCATCTTTTTGATCAGAGGGACCCAAAAGAGATAAATTCCACTTTGCTGTAACCCTAATTTTATTTTTTTATAGTCTTATTGCAGCTGTTCCACCTTACTGTTTCAACCAAACATAACTTGTATAGCATAGCCATGTTACTAGATCATAAGTCATTCTGTTATCTTTTTCCATTTGGGGAAGCCTCTTATGATTGTTGTTTTTGTTGCAAAAAAAATGCCCTTTTTTCTGGAAAATTGATGACTTGTTATTTTTCTTTGGGTGGTCATGGGAATCTACTTCTTCCCACGCTTTCTGAAAATCACCCACAGCTGGTCTCTTGTTATTAGTAAACTAGAAAATGTAGGCTGCACCAGACTGGTATCTGTACTGCTCCAGTGAAATGCTCCAACATCGTATTCGGAAGATTTCTTCTTTAATCTTGGATCTGAATTGCCCTAATCTAGTTTTTTCTCACTTTGGTGCCCTGTTTGTCTTTGAAACACAACTGCAATGGTCATATTGGCTGGAAATTCTGGAAGTTGTAGGATCAATACATTTATTGTGCTAATGCTAGGTTGGGAAAACCCGTGACCCGTCAAAACCGCGTTCCACAAAAGCGTGGTCGACGAAAGCGCGTATGTGACGTCATCACAGCGCGACG